AAATAAATATTGCCCCCTGGTGATATGCAAATCCCTACCCTCTCAATCCTCTAAATACATACAGTCTTGACTCTTAACAGGGACTTTGGACCAGGGGTATGGCTCCTCTCACAGTCTGAGGTGCTGAGTCAGCTTGCCTTCCAATCCTACCCTTGGTCTGGGTATTGTGCAATTCCCAGTGTTTAGGTGAGAAGGGGTAGTGATGGAGGTAATAGAAGGGTTGTATCTCCCATACTGGACCAGTCCCAGAGAAACAGAACCCCAGATGAAGGCCCAGGAACATACATGCCACTACTGCCTGGAGCTTTGGCCCCAACGGTACTTTAGCCCCCATTCAGTACATTTCACTTCCATTTGGAAGCATTGATCATAATCATAAGTCCACTATTATCTGTCAAAATCACTCATGTAAGGTCTGTTTCCACACTGGATCGTGAGCTCCTTGAGGACAGGCATCATGCCTGCTGATTCAGCACAAAACCCTAGTTCCTTTCAAGGTACCCAGCTCACAGATGCTGACTGAGCAGACTACACAAAGGAAATAACATTTATTGACAATATTTTTTTCCAAAACACCTCGCAGTAAATACAACACTTAGATGTTTATTATATCGTCTGATCCTCTAACAAACTGGGTGGTAGAGGCCTTGGTGTGCCGGAGCTGGCTTGTATTAACTTGCTAGACCCGGGTGTTAAACACTCTGGACTTTTTTGCAAGCCAGTTATTAAACCCTTGGTAACTTGATATTGGACATGGTGGGGATATTTATACTTTGGAGATCAACAAAGACTACAAATAAGGGCTTTTCTTTTACAAAGAGCAGGTTTATCATGAAACCACTGGCAGTAGGTATGTTTAAAAAATGTTCTGTGAGCCCCGCGTCGGGCTCTGGGCTGATGGCTCAGAGCCTGGAGCCTATTTCCGATTCTATGTCTCCCTCTCTCTCTGCCCCTCCCCCGTTCATGCTCTGTCTCTCTCTGTCCCAAAAATAAATAAAACGTTGAAAAAAAAATGTTCTGTGAATGGATAGATGGGGATAACCTGAAACATGGCACCTTGGAGTTTGAGAGAGATCAACTGAGACTCTCAAGGTCTCTGACTCTTGCTGCAGTAAGATGCCAGCTTCAAATGCATTTATTCATTTCAGTGAGCATTTTTTGATTGCCAGGCATGTGCCAGGAACTTCTGCCATGGCAAAATGTGATGAGGAAGTTAGTGGTTAAGACCAAGGATCACCTCATCAGAGACCTTCGAAGTCAGCAGTGCTGGTGCCTGCCCCAGAAAGCAGGCTCTGCTCAGGGCCCTGAAACGTGAGTAGATCAGGACCTGATGCTCCACCATCATGTAGGGTCTGAGTAGGGTCCTGCTGTCACAGACCCAGCCATTGGGTGTGTGCGGACCACCTACTGTATTTACCTGCTGCCCAGGGCTCCCTCCACAGAACCTGCAATTCCTCTGCCCAAAGCAGCCTGACTAAACTTCCCAAGGGAACAGAAGTCCAATCTAGACCCAGTCCACTGCCAGGGCCCTCCTCTGACAGGGCTGATTCTTGCTCCCTACACACCCTTAAAAGCCACTGGGATTATACTGTGAATAATGAGCAATCAGAGGCTCCAGTGGAAACCACATAGACACTGCCCCTAAATGCATGGGTCCTGTTATGCGTTGAACTATGTGTCCATCCCCCAGTTCATATGTTGAAATCCCAACACCCAGTGCCTCAGAAGGTGTCCTTATTTGGTAATAGCATCCTTGTAGATGTAATTAGTTAATTTAGGATGAGGTCAACCTGGAACAGGGTGGGCTCCTAATCTAACAGTACCTAGTGTCCCTATAAAAAAGGGGAAACTTGGACATGAGATGCCCACAGGGAGAATGCCATGTGAAGATGCAAACTAAGGAACAATGAAGATTGCTAGAAGCTAGGGAGAGGCATGGATCACATCCTCCCTTCACAGTCCTCAAAGGAGCCAACCCTACTGACACCTTACCTCAGACTTCCAGCCTCCAGAATGTGAGACAAGAAATTTTGTTGTTAAGCCACTCAGCTGCTGGTACTCTGGTACAGCAGCCATAGAAAACTATTCTAGGTCCCTTGCTTTGCAACCCTCCAAACTGGGCAGTGCTGCATCAGAGTTCAAGTGACTAACAGGAATGCTGCAGACAGACAAGGGTTAGAGCGTCATGCTGGAGCCAGATGTGGAATCTAACAGAAGAGGCACTGGGCTTGGGGTCAGGTCAGAATGACCCTGCCTGAGTGCTGGGGATTGTTACGTTCTCCCTGGGAGCCCTTCTATTCTGCAGGACTCACACAGGTGACCACGGACACCATCAGGAGTTACCAGAGTCAGGGATAAAACAGCAGCAGAGCAGTGGCCTTGAGTTTGCACATGTGATCACACTCCAGGGGTTGGATGCCCACTGGAAGCCCCAAGAGGAAGGTGCCATGATGACAGAGAAGTGCCAAGTGCTTGGAGGGAGCCAGATGGCCAGTGCAATATGTCACTGGCACTTTAGATACTGCCAAAGCCTATGGGATTCCCAGTATCTTATTTTTCTCTATTAAAAGTAATAGTGTTTTCAGCAAACCCACTAAATGGGGAAATTTGATTCCAGAAAGAGATGGGCCGAATATTCATTCCTGGCCTTAGATCCTTGCTACAGAGTCCTCATGAAGAGTGCACAGAATTAGACAGGGTTTGCCCTTAATCAACCCCGGATGCTCCAAAGCTAACGTGAGGCACAGAGTAGACACCAACCAAACACAAGTCTGCTTTCCTTTGTCTTTTCTTGGCTTTTTTCTCACCAAGCATCCTCTTATCTGAGGTGGCACTGAGAGGGGTAAGTCCCTGGGACTCTGAGAGACTGGCATTCTCCACTGTCCAGCTCTCTGTCCTATTCAAGGTGCTCCTAAAGCTCCGCTTGTCTGGGCTGAAGGGCTGGCCCTCGCAGACCTGGAAAGTGAGGGTGTCAGTGCTGGGAATCTACCTCTGACTCCTGACTCCTTCCTGCCCTGCCAGGGCTCGGCCATCTGAGAATCCAGATTCATTCACTTACTTGTTCCCATCCCTCCACACATCCACATGTTACATGTGCACACCCCCCTAAGGAAGACAGTATCCTACAAGTCAAATGTGAGAACAAATCCTTATGCTTAGAAGAGGTACATGTTTTCCTCTCTAGTTCTTTCAGGACCAGTGCAGCTGTACTGCAGGGAGAAGTGCTTCATGCTGGGTCTCTAGGACTATGAGGACAGTGGATCCTGAAGTTGCCCCAGAAGTAGAGTTTTAATTATTCTCTTGTAAAGTTCCCATATCTATCTCTTGTCCATCCAACCATGTGTTCCCAATTCTCAGTTTAGAAAACAGCATCCAACAAACTACCCTTTAGGGGGGCTTATGTCCCAGAGGGTATCCTTAGAATACCACATCCTCCCACCCCCGCCATGGAGGGCAGAGCAACCACATCAACCTCTCCCTTGTCTAGAGGTCAAAGCTGGAGGGGTGGGTGAAGGAGGTGTCCCTGTACGTTTCCTTCCTTCCCCCGGCTGCCCCTTTAAGCGGGACGCAACAGACGCTCAGCTGTCCGGAGCTCTAATGCTATCCAATTGATGATGCTCTTCCTCTTGGATTATCTGTTTTCCTCAGTGGGAAAGCCTTCTAAGGCCTGTGATTTGTGTCACTTTTGTTTGCAGGCCATCAATTCTCCTTGCCTCACAAAGAGTAGTTTATCTCTGTCCAGTAGCCTGAGTTCCTGAGAGAGAACAAGTTAGGGACATGCCGGCCTCTCATGACTTATGTGAAATCAGAGGGGGTTCTTATCACAGTGAGTCCTTGGTGCTTCTGTCTTCTCCTTCCTCCTGTATCATCTTTCCTTCTCAGCCTACATATTGAGCTGGTTTTCTTCAAAGTTATGAAAGACATGAGTGATAGGTCTTGGTGCATATTTTGTGAAAGAGCCATATTCTCCTCCTTCTCCTCTCTCTCTCTTCCCCTCCCTCATTTCTACCTCTTCCCACACATATGTATGTGTTTTCCTCTGTATGACTGTGCACGCGTGTATATACTCACATATGTACATACACACTTGGGTCATGGTCTTTGTCTATGTTTTATATCTATGATTATATGCCTACTTATATTTATAATTGCCATCTCTAGGGAAGCATCCTATGTAACTATATACACTGTCAATAAATGCAAGAGACAACAGAATTGTCCAATTTTCGTGTGGTTATATGGAGAGAATAGCTGTTAAAAATATCCATCCTATAACAAAAAGATAAACCTGATTTCTAACCATTCAACCTTGTAATAGGTTAAATGATAACAAACCATTCATTGATTTTTTCTTAAAGAGTAATAAACAGAAACATGTACCAATTGAAAGGGCCAGGCAATTCAATTATAATTAGGAAAACAAAAAGTGATGAGCCTGAACAATGCTGCCTTAGTTTTTGGGATAAGTATTGAAAATGCCAACTACATAACAATGCAGTGTTTGTTTTCTCATTATTAAAGGCACCGACACTATCACCTCATTTGTGAAAGCCAAACCCAGCTGAAAAAAGCACAAAACTCAGAAGACAGGTGTGTACCAGACATGCTAAAAAAATACCCACATAAGCACAAACCCAAATATAATGAATATATAGAAGAATATTTAATAAAATTTATATTCATCACTCTACTGATTAATGTACCAGTCCATTCATCTGTTCATCTGTCTGTCAGTCCGTCTGTCTGTCTGCCCCACGATCCCCATCCATCTATCCATCCACTGATTCAACAAGTATTTTTTGAGCTCTTACTATGTTTTTGGCACTGTGTTATTAATATACACTGTAGGTATTTATTAACATATACTGTAGGTATAATGACTCCAATGAAAATAACAATTCTTTCTTTTGTTTTTAGTAATTGTTGCCTAAACTTTCCCTGTGTGGCTAGATGGAGAAATCCTTAAATGGCTGAAGACAGACAAGGACATGGCAACATACCTTTTGTAGCCAGGCGAACACAGTTGATTTTGGTCTCCTGTGAACAACAAAAGTGAGGTTCCAGTTAATTAGTTGTGGGTTTGGTTTGTTATATAAAGAAAAGATGTACATATGTATACCTGTATATATGTCTATATATGCATTTTTAATTACAACCTGAAATGTGTCCTTTCCATCTCTTCCCCCATCGTAATCACTTTTTTTTTTTTTTTTTAACGATTTTAAGTAATCCCTACCCTCAATGCAGGGCTTGAACCTATAACCCCCAGATCAAGAACCACATGCTCTACCAACAGAGTTAGCCAGGCACACCAGGAATCACTTTTTAATTCTATTTCTTCATTTATTTTCAGGCAAGGTACATATTTTGTGCCTTTTAATTCCTGGCTCCCATCACCTCATAAGCTGCCTCCCAGACAGAACCACTTATAAACATTAAATCCTATGACTGCCCAGCACAGGACAACTTTAATAATAACACTAGATGGGTACACTGTGGCATATGTTAGTAGATGGCACCAAGAGCATCTTTGGGAAACTATGTTGGTAAGTAAATAATAAGTAAAAAATGCATCTATCTGCACAGACTGAAACAGATACTAGACAAGATCCCAGGCAATATGAATGTGTAAGAATCAAACTGCAAAGTTCATATTCAAAAAGTTACACTGGCCCTGAGATCTCTGGTGAACCTCACAGTTTTCATGGGTAATGTTGTGTGTGTGTATGTTTGCATGGCGATCGAATCTTTGGTGGGTAAACTATCTAGTTATTGTTGGCTGTTCCCCAAATGGACAAGACCCATAAACTTGAGATATTACTGGGCCTGCAGTTGAGTTACAGAAGAGTGTGCTCAGGAAGATCATCATTTTAGTGTGCTTTCTTGGGATCATCTCCAAGGAGGCCCTAGAATCAGTTGAAAATTCCAGTTGACTAAGTAATACGCCCAGCAACAATCTGAATATATTGTAGCAATGAAAATAAAAGGCAAAAAGGAATGCAAGTGTATGGGTCTCAAGAATCAAACGTGTGTCTTGCTAATGCTCACTCATAAGAAATTACTGCATCTTATAGGGGCACTTGTACCCCAATGTTCATAGCAGCACTCTCAAC